CACCGCGCCCGGCCCACAGGGAAGTCTTGATGGTTAAATGCGGTGTTTAAAACACTCAGCACAGTGCCTGACATACAGACCTCAGTAAATTGTCACCATTAACATTAACTCACAAAGCACCCAGCCCAAGGCCTGGTAGCCACAGGGCCATGATTATTTTTCACCTTCTCCTCCTCCCCGGGCTCTCCCATCTGATCCACGCTTGCACCAAAGAACCGCTCTGCCTCCCTTCTGCCTTTCCCAGCTTGATCACTCTTGCCCTTTCTTCCTGGATTCTGGGTCTGGTCTCTCTCTGTCTTTTTTTTTTTTTTTTGAAACAGGGTCTCACTCTGTCACCGAGGTTGGAGTGCAGTGGCGCAATCACAGCTCACTGCAGTCTCGACCTCCCAGGCTCAAGCGATCCTCCCACCTCAGCCTCCCACAGTAGCTGGGACCACAGGCATGCACCACCACACCCAGCTAATTTTTTGTAGAGATGGGGTTTCATCATCTTGCCTAGGCTGGTCTCGAACTCCTGAGCTCAAGCAATTCACCTGCCTTGGCCTCCCAAAGTGCTGAGAATACAAGCATGAACCACTGCTCCTGGTCCTGGGTCCTTCCTGGTGGGATGGAGACTGGACGGGGGGCCTGGGCTGCAGCTTCAAGGATAAAAGGGTGACCCGATACTTCCCTTCTGGGGTCACCTACACCTATCCTGCAGAGGTAGATCCTGCAGCAGGAGGAGGTCCTTGGCTCTCTCCTTTGCCTCCATGCCCTCATGGGAGACTGACGTTACAAACTCATAAAGCACCCAGCCCAAGGCCTGGTAGCCACAGGGCCAGCATTAAGGGGAAACTCACGGTCAGAGGCGAGATGGGCGTGGCTGGCGTTGCTGTGAGAACTGCTGTAGGAGTGGGATTGGTGCACAGATTCATCCACCACAGCCGCCATCCAGATGGCCAGGTTGGTGGTGAGTGTGAACATGAGACCACACCTGTTTGGGGTTGGGGGCAGGGACAAAGAAGACTGTGACCCTTTGGCAGGTTGGGGAGCAATACTGAAAGCTGGTGTTGAGAAATGAGAAAGCAGCCAGGCCTGTGTGAACAGGGAAGCTGATTTTGCTAGGAACACAGCCTGGCTGGTATGCCACCCAAGACAGGGCTAGGAGATTTCCCCGGGGGCCACCACCACTCCCTCCCCTGGGAGAAAGGGCCCCACAAAGTAGTGGAAGTCAGCCTGACAAAGCAAGGAGGCCTTGGCTGCAACCCCACCCAGGGGACATAAAGAGAGGCCCTGCTCCGGGGTGGAAAGCCCAAATCTCTCCTGCAAGGTGAACACCAGCATACTGGGCACAGGCATGGAGCTGCAGCTCTCACCGGGTCAGATTCAGGTGGACGTGAACGCAGTCTTTAGCGGAGACCCAGAGGAAGTAGGTCTGTATTGAGAGACATTGGTGAGAGTTATTTACTCCATAGATGGACAAAACTCCAGTGCACCCATGCCCATGCCATCTTGTTCTCTCCACCTGAGGAACCTTACACCGAGTCATCAGGTTCATTTTAGCTTCACAAAATGAGGCGGGGGCTGGGTGCGGTGGCTCACACCTGTAATCCCAGCACTTTGGGAGGCCGAGGCAGGTGGATCATTGGAGGTCAGGAGCTTGAGACCAGCCTGGCCAACATGGTAAAACCCCATCTCTACTAAAAAACCAAAAAAATTATCTGGGTGTGGTGGTATGCACCTGTAATCCCAGCTACTCGGGAGGCTGAGGCAGGAGAATCGCTTGAACCCGGGAGGCGGAGTTTGCAGTGAGCCAAGATTGTGCCACTGCACTCCAGCCTGGGCGACAGAGTGAGACTCCATCTCAAAAAAAAAAAAAAAAAAAAAAAAAAAAAGGAAAAAGAAAAAAAATGAGGTGGGGAACACTGTCTCTTTCTATTCTGACACAGTTTGTATAAAATAGTGGTTCTCCATTCTTTAAAGGTTTACAAAACATCACATGTAAAACCCTGCCCGTGGTGGGGTTTATTTTGTATGGAGGTGGGGGTCAAGTAGATTTCTGACTACCTAGTTTTTTTTTTTTTTTTTTTTCTGGGAGCAAGGCCAGCCTCAGGTTAGGTCTTGCTCAGGGTGGAAGGAGCCTCTGTGGACTCCTCACCTTCTTTTGACAACATCCCCTGCTCATCCTCTTCCTCTGTCGCCATACCAGGCCTTGCTACCGTCTGGCTGCCTGTGAATCCCTGCTATGGCATTTGGTGATGTGGGGATATCTATATTTTCATTTTATCTGAGTATTCTTCAAACCCATAAAATATGAAAGACTAAAGCTACATAAGTGCCACAACCACACGTGTGCTGAACTGTGAAAACCTGGGCAGCAGGGGTGATGTTTCTGGGGAGGACATCATCCATGACGCCATTTTGGTCATGATAGAGGGCTGGGGGCTGTTCTGATCCCATCTAAGCCCAGTCCCGTCTCAGCTCAATCAGAAGATCTTTCAAAGTATTGTTTATGCAACAACAACCACAAAACGAATGTTTGAGAAATCCCAGTTACAGGCTACCCTACTTTCCAAACAAATACAGAACAGAGGGGCCAAGCTGGCAGGAGCCTGGACTGATACAGAAGCCCCCTACGGGTACCCAAGGAGGGCAGGCCAGGTTCTAGGAGACAGGGCTGTCTGTCACAGCTCACACCTCCTAGGTGTTAATTACTGCACTGCTTAAGTTGAAATAACATTGCAGAGCTCCAAGTGGGAGCTCACGTTGGGATATTACTTCATTATGAGGTGTTTCCGCATTGATGGACTCCTGTGATGCTCTCTACAGCCCTGTCCCCAGTTTACTTAATAGCTCAGGATACGAGGCGGGTGGAGCTCAGGTCTCCGACCCCTTGTTGGGTCCTTTCCAATGGCCAAGTGTTAGCTCCTTTCTTCCACACAGCGACACTTACCTGGATGATGACAAACACAGCCTGGATGACAGGGTGCAGGATCTTTATGGCTGACTGGCACTCAAAGAAACTGGAGTAGTAGCCGGTCTTGAAGATATCCATGATGAGGGTGCAGATACCAAACAGCACCAGTCCACCTGAGAACCAGGGCGAGTGGGTGGTGGTGGTAGATCAGAGAGGCGGGAGAGAAGGCCTGCCCAGCTGAGGACAGGCCCTGAGGATGGGAAGCTAGATGGGTGGGTGGACAAGTGAGTGAGCGCACTGTTGGATGGATCAGTGGGGAGGGTGGGAGGATAGGTGGATAGGTGTATAGACAGACTGAAAGGTGAATGGGTGGATGGAAGGCTGAGTGTATGACTGAGTGGGTGGATGGATGGACCTGCTACCAAGCCCCCGTCTCTTTGGGGCTGTGTGGATACCACAAAGGGCCCTGGCTGGGCTCTTTCAGTGACTGCTGTCTTCTGGTTCCTGCCCTCCATCAAAGGCCCTCCCTTAGCCAGCCTTCTCCAATCTTCAGACCAGGGGACAAAGAGGTCCCACCCCATCCCTCTATTTATCCCTTCCCCAGGACCCCTTCCCTTCCTCTTTATCCTTAACTGCAGCCCACCTCACCCTCCGGTCCTCCTGGTCCTCTCTAGGCAAATTCTCACCCTTATATGTCACCCTGGGCTCTGCAACTCCTGTGAGAGCCCTAGCCTGCAGCTCCCTGCTGTGCCCACCCCACCTCGCCCCCACCTCCCCTGGCACCTCGGAGCCAGATGGGGCCAGCGTGCGCGTCCCGGTAGGGTACCGCGCAGGGGCAGCGCACGGTTCGGAGGAGGTAGAAGAGGATCCAGAGCATTGCCAGCAGCATCATCGTAGTGAGCAGCGCGAACACGTCGGTGTCGTACACGGCCACCTTGTTGAAGGCTCCGCCGCTGATGAGCGTGCAGGCGAGGAGCAGCACGTTCGCGGCCAGCAGCACGGACAGCAGGCGGCCGCCCTTCTTCCACACCTCCCTGGGGCCCGCCCGCGGCGCCGGGGGGCTCTCCTTGGGGCCCGGGGCCAGCTCCTCGGACATGGCGGGGGCGACTGGAGAAGGCTAGAGGGATTACTGTCGGGGAGGAGCGGATAAAACTCCAGGTCAACCCCGACAGCTCTCTTTCCCGCATCTCATCCCTAGATTTGGGGACTAGGGAGTTCCTGACCCGCAGGGTGGGGGCTTCAGGTGCTGGAGGAAGCGCTGGGAAAGGGGAAGAGAAAACACGGAACCTGCCCCTCTCGCTGGACAGGAAGAAAGAAAGGAGAAGCGGCAGCACCCGGTTGGACCCCTCCAAGGTCCCCACTCCCCAAGTCCGACTGCCCTTTGGCCCGGGGCACCCACCTGGCTGGGCCTGGAGCCGGCGCTGAGCTGGGGGTCAGGGGACGGTGAACGTCTCCTCTCTCCCACGCCGGGATGGACAGGCGCTTTATACCCAGGCGGACAGGGTGATTTACAGCTGCGGGAGTTCGGCTCCATAAAGCTCTCAGTCCCGCTCACATGATCCATCTTTCTCCAAGGTGAATTTAGGGAAGAGCCCGCAGGAGCCAGATAAGGCAAGATTCATATTTACCCTTTGAGAGGCGACCCCACTCCGTCACCCCGGTGCGGCCAGGCTCGGGCGCGGCCCCGCACTGAGGCACCCAGAGGGCACCCCGCCCCCGGTGCCCACCGCGCCCTGGCGTGCAGCATTCCAGGCGCCCAGAGCCCCGAGAGCTAAGCTCAAGAGACGTCCCAAAAGCCCGCGGGCACCCTGACGCCCTCCAGCCGCGACGCACCCTGAATCCTGTGCTCCTCTGCTCCTGCTCGGGGTGGGAACCCCAGCCCCCCTCTCCCCCGCAGTCCTCGCAGTGATCCAAGCTCTTTTTTCCTCTATCCCACCGCCCTGCCCGCGCCCCCGCCGGCCCGCGCTCTGCTGGATGCTGCGAAGTCCAGGGCTTGGGTGCGAAGTTCCACGCGGCGCACGGAGCCGCTGCCAGTCCTCTAGCGCCCTCTGCTGGAGCGCGGTCGAGGGACTCCGTGCGGGCGGCGGCGGCCTGGCCTGTCCCACTCGCTGACCATACTGCGGTCGGTGCTGGTGCCCCTTCTTAGGTCCACTGTCCTGGGGCTCAGGACGGCTCACCCACCCCGCCCTCCGGCACCCCTCCCCAGCTCTCGGCTCGTTCCACTGACAGGTGGAGAAATAGGAAGCCACAGCGCCCCAGGCTCTAGTGAGGACAGACCCCTGACTGTCCCCGGACTGGGCGTCACAGGGCGGGGCCCCGGGATGGGCACTTTTGAAGAGGAGGGCAGGGCCTTGCGTGGGTTACCCTCGTGCGTTGAGGTGCATGCAGGGTGTTTAGGACCCAGGGGAAGACCGGGGGCGGCTCCCTGGACAGAGGGAGATTTCGGCTCCCCCCGCAGCCCCCCTCCGCCGCCGGGTGAGCGGCTCAGATGTCCCGGTAGTCGCGGCTCTGGCGCTCCGCACCCTCCGTCTGCGGCAGCGGGGGCTGGCGGTCCCGGCCCCTGCCCGGCCCCCTCCCCCAACCTCATGCCTCAGCCCTAACCCCGCCGCCCTCCCCTGCGGGGGGCATTTCTCCGTGTCCCCCGCCCACTCCGTCCACTTCGGGCGCCATGAACGACCAGTACCACCGGGCAGCCCGGGATGGCTACCTGGAGCTCCTCAAGGAGGCCACCCGGAAGGAGCTGAATGCCCCCGATGAGGATGGCATGACCCCAACTCTCTGGGCTGCCTACCACGGCCACCTGGAGTCGCTGCGCCTCATTGTGAGCCGCGGGTGAGTACTCCCCACCCAGCGCCCTTGAGACCCCTGAGACCACCCCAGACTCCCTGGGATCCATCCTCCACCCCTCCTCTGAGCTGCCTCCTTCCCCTGCAGACAGGTGGACCCTTAGACCCTGGCGTTTGTGGGAGAGACACATGTGGAGGGGGACCCAAGCAGAGGCATCTGACACTTGTAACACTTGTGACCTCGATCTGGGGCTAGGAGGGGGAGAAACCGGGATTTGGGGGTTCCTGATTATGGGGGGTTGCTGCAGAGTGAGGGGAAGGTGGGAGAGATCCCCTGGCTGGGGTCCCCCTGAAAGTAAGAGTGAGGGGCTTAATGAGACTCGGAGAGAAGGCTGGGAAGTCTGGAGGGGCCAGCAGTGGGGGCTAGAAAGGGTCGGGTCTTCACTGCCCACTCCGCAGCCTTGGATCCAAAGGGCTTTCCCAGCCAGCACCCACCTTCCCTGGCAGGCTGGTGTCACACAGCGCTTGCCCCGGGATTTATGGACACTGTCCAGAGCGCCAAATGTCACTGATTCAGACACCCCATTAACTCTCCAAGTCCCTCCCCCACAGCCGGGCATAGCTAAGCAATGGGGAGACTGTGATGTGGTCACCCTGAAGGGGCCTCTCTCCCCTCCCCCTCCCTTTGGAGTTGTCCTAGGGCGAGGGGTGGGCATAGAGTGCAGGTGTCAGCGCCAGGGAAGGGGCCTGGAGGTGGCAGTTAAGCCACCTCCAGGACTAGAGCCACTGACATGGGTTCCTTGGGGCTAAAGTCAAATGACTGTGACCAACTCCCTCAGCCCCAATGGCTTTATAAAGAGGAGTCAGGTTGGTCTGAACACCAGGGCGGCCTGGACAGGATGAGGGGTGGACAGGACACCCCAGGAGGGTTGATATGAAGTCTCAGGTCATGGGAGAGAGGGCTGGGGCCCAGGCACTGGCCTATGGCCTGATCATGTAGTGGGTGCTGGAGACCCCTCCCTCTTGCCCCCTCTTTGGGCTGCTCCTTGGGCCCAGCATCAGGTGGGAGCAGCCTCGAAGCCTGGGCAGCTGAGCCATGTCCCGGGAGGCCAAGGCTGACTGGCCCCTCCTCATCCCAGGAGAGCACACAGTGACACTGTCCCCTGCCATCCCTTCAGAGAGGCTCATGGGAGGAAGGGAGAAGGGGAAGAGGTCTCCCCTTGGGTATGCCAAGCCCCAACTCCTCCAGAGACCAGGATTGGTGTTTGATGGGGTGTGGGTCGGGTGCTGGCAGGCCCTTCCCACACTGGCCTGTAGGACTTGGTGGCCAGGAGGGGAGGCCCAGGAGGGAGTGTGTGAGGAGCTGTTGAGACAAGGGAGTGATTCTTCCCCCAGCCCTGGGGGTTGGCCTCGTGGCCTCATTAGTGCAGGGCAGGGGTGCTGTGCTGGGCCCCCAGGGGAGGGAGAGCTCTGGAGGAGTCTTGGGAGCTTGCCCTGAGGGACACAGTCTGGTGTGAGGGGTGCTTGTGGGGGCTGTCAGGGGTCCTGGACAGGCTCAAGTGAGACAGCCTTGAAGGGATAACAAAGAGGGGGCAGCCTGGGGAAGGGAGGGCTTTGGAGCGCAGGCAGCTGATTTCCCTCCTCCTCCCCTCCAGTCCTGGCTGCCCCCGCACTCCCCTCCTGGCCCAGGCCAAGGCCCGACACTTCCTCTCACACTCGGGCTTGCCAGGGCTGGCCCTGCTCCCTGCAGACAGGGCCCTGCCTGCTGACACACAAGCCCACACCTCACACACGCTAACCCGGGGCTGGGGCCCGGTACACATCACCCTCTGGTCTGTTCTCTTTTACGGTCACTCGGCACACGCAGCCACACTCACCACCATGCCTGCCTAGAGACCCAGACGCGGCCCTGGCCCCCCAGTGCTCTGGCCAGCTCTGTGCTGGGCCTCATGAATAATTTACTCCCTTCTCTCAGGGCATCAAATATTTATCCCCTGAGATTCCCAGTCCTCAGTTAGCTTGGGGAAGGTCCCGCCCCAGTCCCGCCTTCTCTGACACCCCACCCCCTGCACACCTGGGGCCATTTTCCCCTGGGCTCACCCCTGGGCTCACCTGTTGGGTGGCTCAGGCCTGCAGGTCTCCTGGAGTCGAAGAGGTCTCAGGCCCACGGTCCCTTTGGGGGTTGCTGTGACAGTGGGGGAGCTCCCTTCCCCCCTCCACTCCCTCCACCTCCATCCCCAGCCAGGACTCGTCACTAGTCCCTCCTGGATGCTTTCCCTGCAGGGGTGACCCGGACAAGTGTGACATCTGGGGCAACACACCCCTGCATCTGGCAGCTTCCAATGGCCACTTGCACTGCCTGTCCTTCCTGGTGTCCTTCGGGGCCAACATCTGGTGCCTAGACAACGACTACCACACGCCGCTGGACATGGCTGCCATGAAGGGCCACATGGAATGCGTGCGCTACCTGGACTCCATCGCGGCCAAGCAGAGCAGCCTCAACCCCAAGCTAGTGGGTAAGCTGAAGGACAAGGCCTTCCGCGAGGCGGAGCGGCGCATCCGCGAGTGCGCCAAGCTGCAGCGCAAGCACCACGAACGCATGGAGCGGCGCTACCGGCGCGAGCTGGCCGAGCGCTCCGACACCCTCAGTTTCTCCAGCCTCACGTCCAGCACCCTGAGCCGCCGGCTGCAGCACCTGGCGCTGGGCAGCCACCTGCCGTACTCGCAGGCCACGCTGCACGGCACGGCCAGGGGCAAGACCAAGATGCAGAAGAAGCTGGAGCGGCGCAAGCAGGGCGGCGAAGGCACTTTCAAAGTCTCCGAGGATGGGCGCAAGAGCGCCCGCTCGCTCTCGGGCCTGCAGCTGGGCAACGACGTGATGTTCGTGCGCCAGGGCACCTACGCCAATCCCAAGGAGTGGGGCCGAGCCCCGCTCCGGGACATGTTCCTCTCGGACGAGGACAGCGTCTCCCGTGCCACGCTGGCAGCCGAGCCTGCCCACTCGGAGGTCAGCACCGACTCAGGCCACGACTCCCTCTTTACCCGCCCCGGCCTGGGCACCATGGTGTTCCGCAGAAATTACTTGAGCAGTGGGCTGCACGGACTGGGCCGCGAGGATGGGGGGCTGGACGGGATGGGAGCGCCTCGGGGTCGGCTGCAGAGCTCCCCTAGCCTGGACGATGACAGCCTGGGCAGTGCCAACAGCCTGCAGGACCGCAGCTGTGGGGAGGAGCTGCCCTGGGACGAGTTGGACTTAGGCTTGGACGAGGACCTGGAGCCCGAGACCGGCCCGCTGGAGACCTTTCTGGCCTCTCTGCACATGGAGGACTTTGCCGCCCTCCTGCGGCAGGAGAAGATTGACCTCGAGGCTCTGATGCTATGTTCTGACCTCGACCTCCGCAGCATCAGCGTCCCCCTGGGGCCCCGAAAGAAGATCTTGGGGGCCGTGAGGAGGCGGCGGCAGGCGATGGAGCGCCCACCGGCCCTGGAGGACACAGAGCTGTGAGTGTCCAGCCTGGCAGGGGGATGGAGGAACAGGAGTTGGAAGGCCCCTGGGGAGGGAGTACAGATCTGCCTATTCAGGAGTAGGGGGTGGGGGCTACTGTATTTCATAAAATCGAAATGGGGCCATCGATGATAAAAGGCCCCCTTATTTTATTTACCACCAGCTCAGAAAAAGAAGTTGCCAATTTAATGATGACCCAAGGCATTCTTATCACAGCTAGTGTAAAGTGCACCTCGATTTTGGGGACATCAACATGTGGGGAAATGGTCGTCTTAGTGTCACCGAGTTTCAACAGTCACGGGAATCACAGTTGGGGTGTTTTTGAGCCCTCCCACCTCCCAGGTGCTGGGTTGTGCCCTTGAACAAGTTCTCTTGCTTAATCCCTCTAAAAGCCCGTGTGCCCGGACTGTATTGGTGGATTATATCGTTCCCATTTTATAGCGGATGAGCAAGTGGAGGCTCAGACAGTTAGAATAGCTCACCTCAAGGTCCTGCTGCTGCTCAACATGGAGCTGGGCTTGATCCCTGGTCTGCATGGCTTTAGAGCCTGGGGTCAAGGTGGCTCCCATGGGATGCAGGGCTTGCAGTCAGCAGGGCCTCTCAGTTGCCCAAGACCTCAGGCAGATTTTTTTTTTTTTTTTTTAAGACAGTTTCCCTCTTGTTGCCCAGGCTGGAGTGCAGTGGCACAATCTCAGTTCACTGCAACCTCCACCTCCCGGGTTCACGAAATTCTCCTGCCTCAGCCTCCTGAGTAGCTGGGATTACAGGGGTGCACTACCATGCCCAGCTAATTTTTGTATTTTTAGTAGAGATGTGGTTTTGCCATGTTGGCCAGGCTTATCTCGAACTTCTGACCTCAGGTGATCTGTCCACTTCGGCCTCCCAAAGTGCTGGGATTACAGGCGTGAGCCACCGCGCCCGGCTTTAGGCAGATGTTTTACCTGCTATTCCTGAACTCTGCAACCAGGAACGTGGGCAAATGCTCCCAAATGCTCTGGAGGCAGAGTTCATGTTCCAAAGCCCGTCATAGTTGGCCAAGGCCGCTGCCACAATGGTCATGCTGTGGCCAGCCCCTGCCCTGGCCCCTCCCCTGCAGCATCCCACAAGCCCAACAAATGCTGTCCTCATTTCCTCTTAGGTATCTATGGCCTTTATCCTGAGTGGCTGGGGCAGGGAGGGTGTGGGGAGGCAGGCTGGTTTAGAGTTTTGGGGATGGGGAGGTCACCCGTAGGCTGGCATCCTCCATCCCTGACCATCAACCTGCTGAGAGATGGGAAGGCTAAGTTGTCCAGATGGCTGTCCTGGGTGAAAATGATGCCTCTAAAGGACCTCACGTGAAATCTGTTTCTTTCTGTCTCTTCCTCCACAGATAACGGGGGGCTCCTCTCCCCAGACCAAAATGAATTGCAAGTTGCCACAACCTGTGGTGGGGCCTCAAGGTCCTCACAGTCGCCAGTCCTGCAGCCCCCTTCCCCAGGAGCAAGGACCACGTGGGTCGACTCCTTTGAAAGGCTGTCCACACCTTGAAGCAGAGGGTGTAGCCTGGAGGCACCAGAGGGGCAAGAGAATGTCCCCTCCAGTTCTGAGGGGTCACAAAGGCCCTGAGCCACCCATTCTGAGCAGCCCTAAAGGACATGTAGACTTGGGGGAGGCTTACCCCAGAGGGAGGGCAGGGGCATGGAACTGGATGGGAGTGTGGGAGGTGAATGCCGGAGGGCATGCCTGTCCCGGGCCCCTCCCCTGATGGTCTTGTTCTCTTGTGCTCAGGCCGGAGACTTGCTCACTTCCTGCATTTTTGTGAAGGGAAGAGTTTGGGCTGCCTCCCCTCTTCCAGTCCACCCCAGAGGGGAAGTTCCTCAGCCAGACTCTTCAGCCAAATGCCCCAACTTTCAGTCTGCACCCATTCCAAGCACAGCCAGCATCCCCTCCTTCAGCCAGTGGCCAAGGCCCGGAGCTGGAGAGCCAGGCTGGGGGTACTGACGCCCTTCCCAGCTCATCCAGGGATGGAGCCTGGCCTGTCTTCCTCCAGCCTCCCGCTTTTTCATTGTGCAGCCTGGCCCCGCCAGGGACCCCAGAGGGCCAGGGCACTAGATGCAAGGTGCTAGACCAACAGGCTGCAGTGTTATAGCCCCCAGGCCTGGCAGGCATGCGCTGGGCCAGAGAAAGGTGTCTGCCAACCTCCTCAGTCTCCCAGGCCTGGGACAGGCAGAACAGGGTGTGGCTGGGTGTTGGGCCTGGGTTGGGTAAGTCCTGCGATATGGACACTGGAGAAAGTGGATAATCTAAACTGCAGATTATCCCCAGGTCACCAGGGCTGTGTGTGTGCGTGTATGCATGTGTGTGCGTGCATGTGTGTGTACGTGTGTGGTGTGTGTGTGCTTGTGTGTGTGTTCTTGCGTACGTGTGCACGCACATGCATGTGTGTGTGCGTGCATGTGTGCGCACGTGTTTGTGTTTATGCATGTGTGTGCATGTGTGCGCGTGTTTGTGTGTGTTTATGCATGTGTGTGCATGCGTGCACATGTGTGTGTGTTTATGCGTGTGTGTGTGCATGCGTGCGTGTGTGCGCGCTCACCTTGGGTGTTGTTTGGTAAGTTTCCCTCTTTACCAAAGAGGGGCTGGGCTGCTGGATCGGGGCTAAGGGAGAGCTCGCCTGTGTCCCAGCCCTGTGATGGTGAGACCAGGGGAAAGGCCAGCTCAGAGGGTGGTCAGAGCATGTGTCCTCAGACATGTGCCCCCAGAGCTCTCCAGCCAGACCGAGGTCACAGATATGGGAGAGTCCCTCAGGAGCCCGCTGACATGTGTGTGCCCCTTCGCACCCCATGCAGAGGTGCTCTCCTCCTTCCTCAGCCATGGCCCCCCATCCCTGACCTCAGCTTGGGAAGCAGCTCCTGCTGGGAGCATGGCCACAGTCCCCAGCTCCTCCCGGGGCCCCCTTGGCTGGGGTAGGGGAAAGAGAGCCCTCAAAGGCCTCTTTTTGGTCTGTCCGGGGGTTCCCATTCCCATATACATGCCCAGAGTGGGGGCATGGAGGAGATGGTCCCTGTCCTATTGCAGGACACTGAGGGCTTGGCTGCCTGCCACTGCTATCTGGAGCCCACCGCAGTGCTTCTCCCTGTTCTCTGGGCCTGAGCCTGGGGCCACCCCCAAGTGCCGACTTGTTTTTCCCAGAGCCCCAGGTGCTGCCCCTTCTCTCCCATTCCTTGTCCATTTACTGCCGCAGCCCCTCCTGATTCTAGCCAGTGCTGGGGTGGAGCAGGCTCTGTGTGCCCACCACTGTAGCCCGAATCCCTCCTGCAGGCTCATTACCACTTTTGTAGAGAATGTTCTCCACCAGTGTCATGCCTGTGTCTTGTCCTTTAATGCTTTGGGTATGAAGAGTGGGGGGTGGGGGTGGGGCGGGAGGGGTCTTCTCTGTGCTTGTGAGGACTGGGTCCTGGGCCCTGTTCTCTGGAGTGTCTTCGAGCCCCCATGCTATGCATCTTTGAAGAGATCCCTAGGCCTTTACCCTGCTCTCCTAGCTCAGTCCAGAATGAGGAGCTGGTGGAGAGGCAGGGCTGAGAACTAGGGCAGGAGAGTCCCCCCGAGCAAGGAGGATGACTGAGCCTCCAGGCTTGTTGCCAGGGTCTGCAGCTGTGGAGGGCAGGAGGGTGCGTGTTCTCTCTTCCCACCAAGGCCTGCCTGGGCTTTTCCAGAGATGGGCAGAAACGTACTCCAGGAGGCTGCCGCCCGTCACCTGGGCTCTGGGCCTCCAGAGGGGTCTCCATGAGGGCCCTCCGGAGGCCCAGAGGGGTCTCCATGTCCCACATCACCACAGGCAGCTCATGGGCAGCCTGATTTGAAGCCCTGCTTTCTCCCAGGGGTGAGTCCCCTCTGTAAGCTGGTGCCTAGTGGGCTCTGTTTTCTCAGTCACGTCTGAGGAAGGGCCCTGGAGTAATCTTGCTCCATTGCCTAAGGCTGCTGGGCGAATTTTTTCTGCCAAAGGGAGTTCAAGACAGTTCCCTTCCCCCAGCATCAATCAGAAAGGCCCCCAGGATGTTGATGCAGCAAAGTTGCCTAGCAACCATCCAGGGGTTCCAAGCCACCTCCCTCCACTTTACAGATGAAAAAACTGAGGCCCGGCCGGGCGCGGTGGCTCAAGCCTGTAATCCCAGCACTTTGGGAGGCCGAGACGGGTGGATCACGAGGTCAGGAGATCGAGACCATCCTGGCTAACACGGTGAAACCCCGTCTCTACTAAAAATACAAAAAAAACTTAGCCGGGGGCGGTGGCGGGCGCCTGTAGTCCCAGCTACTCGGGAGGCTGAGGCAGGAGAATGGCGTGAACCCGGGAGGCGGAGCTTGCAGTGAGCTGAGATCCAGCCACTGCACTCCAGCCTGGGTGACAGAGCGAGACTCCGTCTCAAAAAAAAAAAAAAAAAAGAAAAAGAAAAAACTGAGGCCCACAGAGGGGAAGAGTCAGACCCAAAATGCGAGTCTCTGGCTGCCGCCATGCTGTCCTCACACTCAGGCTGCCAAGTGCACCAACACAACAGGATTCCACCTGCCATGCCCTGGGGGCGCATCTCCGTGCGGCCTCTGCTGGCCATCCTGGTCACTGCACCCACCTCATGAAAGACTCACTGGTCCTTGCCGGGATGGTCCAGAAGAAGACACAGGCGTGAGGAATGACAAGACAGAGAGCCGACGGGCACTTCAGCATCCTGGCAGAGATGAACTGGAGGCAGCGGGATGAGGGGCTCTGTGGGTCAGTGTGGCTCGAGGGCGGAAGCCTGCGGTGCCAGGAGCAGGAGCTGCTCCAGGGAGCCTGTGGGGATGTTCAACACAAGCGAAGAGAAGAACATTATATGGTAGGGACTCAACTTTTGTGACTCGTTTCCCTAAAAGTTTACATCAAGAATAGGGACATTCACGAGGTCAGGAGATGGAGACCATCCTGGTTAACATGGTGAAACCCTGTCTCTACTAAAAATACAAAAAATTAGCCTGCTGTGGTGGTGGGCGCCTGTAGTCCCAGCTACTTGGGAGGCTGAGGCAGGAGAATGGCGTGAACCCGGGAGGCGGAGCTTGCAGCGAGCCGAGATTGCGCCACTGCACTCCAGCCTGGGCAACAGTGAGACTCCGTCTCAAAAAAAAAAAAAAAAGAAAAAAGAAAAGAAAAATAAAAAGAAGAACAGGGACATTTTAGCACTTTGGGAGGTAGAGGTGAGTGGATTGTTTGAACCCAGAAGTTCCAGACCAGCCTGGGCAACATGGCAAGACCCTATCTCTACAAAACATTGAAAAATTAACCTGGTTGGTGGTGTGCGCCTGTGGTCCCAGCTACTCAAGAGGCTGAGGTGGGAGGATTGCTTGAGCTGGGGAGGTCAAGGCTGCAGTGAGCTATGATTGCACCATTGTACTCCAATCTGGGCAACAGAATGAAACCCTGTCTCAAAAAAAAAAGACCAGGCGTGGTGGCTCATGCCTATAATCCCAGCACTTTGGGAGGCCGAGGCAGGTGGATCACTTGAGGTCAGGAGGTTCAAGACTAGCCTGACCAACATGGTGACACTCCATCTCTACTAAAAACACAAAAATTAGCCAGGTATGGTGGCAGGCACCTGTAATCCCAGCTACTTGGAAGACTGAGGAACGAGAATCGCATGAACCTGAGAGGCGGAGGCTGCAGTGAACCAAGACTGCGCCACTGCACTCCAGCCTGGGCAACAGCAAGACTCAGTCTCAAAAACAAAAAATAAAATAAAATAAGAAGATTAGAATAATTAATGGTTCTCAGCCTTTTGGGATTAGACTCTGGTGAAAATATGGACACTTTTCCTAGAAAAATGCAAATTGTGCACACACACTCATATGCAATTTTGCTCATACCCCAGGTAGCTCATGGAGAGAGGTCTGGTGACCGCATCGGTTAAGAAGCCTTGGTTAGACAGCTGTGAAATGAACACATCCTACATGAGACATGAGATGATCAACTTCCTGGAGGTGGGGTGGTGGAGTGAATCAGAGGCAGAGAGGGCCTCCAGGGGACGTGGCCCAACCCTCTCATTTTACAGACAGGTGACTGAGGCCCAGAGGGGAAGGGGCTGGCCAAAGGTCACTGACTCGCCAGTGGGCAAAGCAGCACTAGGTCTCCTGATAGTGCCCGCTACCTTTTGTCCCCATGTTATGACCAGTGCCCGACAGCATGGCACCCCGTCCCTCCAGTGTATGCTCTGTCTGTGACCTTCTCTGAGATTGGCCCAGGTTGTATGGGAGGTGGCAGGACTCAGGGGACAGCCAGATTTGGGCAGCAAAACTGGCTCCACCCTTTTCTAGCTGTGTGGCCTTGGGTAAGTTACCCAGCCTCTCTGAGTCTGTTTCATGATATGTAAAAATAGGTATTATAATAACAGCATGAACCCCATCGGTTATTAGGAGGGTGAAATGATGATGCACAGATAGCACTCAGCGCACTCCCTGGTATTTAGTACGCACTAGTTAATAATGGTCATAGTTGTTGTTGGTCTGAGACTGGCCATGGGGTGTTCCTTGCATTTGTGGTTGGCTGAGCTGCTCAGCAGATGGGTCCTAGGCAATTCCAGGGAGCAATCCTTCCAACCCCCATATGAAAATGTATCCCCCAGCTCCGGCCTCCAATACCACTCTGGCTGGAGCCGTTCCCTACTCTGGAAATGCACACCCTGGGGCAGTTTCTCCACTGGACCCCAAACGATAGCTGGTGGGTGCCCTGGCGGGTGGGGGAGGGGTGTTCTCATGGAGGAGAGAGGATGGGGGAAACGGTAGCTGCCAGCGATTCCCTGGCCCCCAACATCACTGCCCCATGGGGCTCCCCCACAGGACCAAACCACTCCTCACAGGGTCATTTTTTCGAGCCTCACCACAGTGGTCCGAGATAGACGAGGCAGAGGCATCACTGACTAGCCCCATTTTATACATTCGGCAACTGAGGTTCAGGTGGGGGATGGCAAATGACCCGCTAGGAGGTGCATAGGCTGGGATGTACAGTCTGGTCCAAACTACATTGCTCCAGGCTGCTAGATGCCTTCTCAAAACATGTATCTAGCACCTTCTACATACCAGGTACGGCAAGCCCATGAGAGCGGTCTCATTGACCTGCCTATCTCATAAGGAAACTGCGCTCAGGCAGGTTAAGTCATTTCTCTGAACCTTGGAGTGCAGAATGTCGGGGCTGTGGGATTTGAACCTCAAACTCTGGCTCTTTCCATGGCAGCCCCAGCCTTCTCCCACCCCATTCACCAAACCATCTCTCCAGGCTCCTACCTGGCACAGGGGCTGCCAGGAACAGGCCAGGGACACGGGCTCAACTGGTGGGACATGGGGAGGTGCGGTGGGAGACGGGCAGGACTCGCTGCCTCTCCTCTCCCTCTGTCCCTGGGCACCTCCCTCCTCTGGATACACCACTGCGGCTCTATGCTCGTGTGTGCACATGTGTGCCTGTGCAGCCTGTGTGTGTGTGTGTGTGTGTGTGTGTAGCACGGGTGGGGACATGTTCATCTCTGTGAGCATGGGGTGGGTGCAGTGGGTCAGAGCTTTCCTGGAAAGTTGTGTTTATTTTTTATTTTGAGACAAAGTCTGGCTCTGTCACCCAGGCTAGAGTGCAATGGCGCCATCTCGGCTCACTGCAACCTCCACCTCCCAGGTTCAAGTGATTCTCCTGCCTCAGCCTCCTGAGTAGCTGGGATTACAGGCACCCCCGCCACCATGCCCAGCTAACTTTTTGTATTTTTTTTTTTTTAACAGAGATGGGGTTTCACCATGTTGGCCAGGCTGGTCTCGAACTCCTGACCTCAAGTGATCCGCCTGCCTCGGCCTCCCAAAGTGTAGGGATTACAAGCGTGAGCCGCCACGCTGGCTGGTTGTGTTTATTTGTGAGCTGAGTGTGTGTCTGTGATTTTGCTCATTTGTCTTTGATTCAGTGCCTCCAAGTTTCCCAGAAGAGGGGTGTGTGTGTGCACGTGTGTGCGGGTGTGCGCCCACAGAGGGCTCCATCACTTTCATCTGGAGTCTATTTTTAGATTCCTCCTCTTCCTTGGTATCTATCTTTAGGGCCCCGGTTCCTTTAGACTGGAAGATTGAAGTTCCTGGACACCCCACCTTCCCTCGCCCCACCCTCACCCTGAACTGGGGGTTTCTACAGAGAGATTCCCTCACCCTCTCTCTGGGTGACTGGCTTGTTGGGGGTCCCAGCCCTGGGGGATAGTGTGGGCTGTAGTGGGAGAAGAACTGATGGGATGGGGCGGAGGCAAGTCTACCTCTTGGGGCACTAGGGTGCTGAGAGGCCTGGGTGGGCTCTCCCCCTCGGCAGGGGTGTCCAGTTT